AGGTTGAGGGACCTGAATCTCTTCAGTCTCCGCACAAGGAGACTGAGGGGGGATCTTGTGGCTGTCTACAACCTTATCAGGGGCCAGCAGCAGGGACTTGGGGAAAGTCTGTTCACCAGGGCCCCCCTTGGAGTCACCGGAAACAATGGCCACAAGCTGAGGGAGGATAGGTTTAGGTTAGATATTAGGAAGAACTACTTCACTGTAAGGGTGGCCAAAGCCTGGAATAGGCTTCCCAGAGAGGTGGTGCTCTCACCTTCCCTGGAGAGACTGGACAGGCACCTGGCTGGGGTCTTATGACCCCTCCTACCCCCAGTGCTCCTTCCTGCCCATGGCAGGGGGGGTTGGACTAGATGATCTGTCCAGGTCCCTTCCGACTCATTGATTCTATGATTCTGTAGTTCAAGCAGTAGGGTTCCAGTACCACCTCTCCAAATGTGAGTCCATATTATTAATCTAATAATTCATTATTTGGAGCACATGCACTCATAGCTTAAACATGATAAGGAAATGAGGAAGTCCTACACCACTCCTCCCTGCTTCTTACATTCTATTTATTTGTTTATTATCAGATACCCATTTTTTGAAAATTCATAAAGGGATATAAAGGGAAAAATGCATAAAGTGATATGAAGATTGAAGGAAATACTTAAAATGAAACTTGATACAGTTTGCCTTTTAAATTAAGCCATTACTTAAAAAAATTGATCTGACTATTGTGTTTTAAACAAGCAACTGTTACACAAAACAAAAAGTTGTAAAAGCTTAAAACAATTGATAACGATAATAGGTAGCTAGCTTATTTTATACAATATTTCATTCAAGGATATGTTCTGAGAAATGTCAACGATGTTATAGAATGAAAAAACAATAAAGCTTATTGGCTCTACACCAATAAGGTAAAGTCCACTAGAATGAATATCTGTTTAACAAATGAAGCTGGTATTCATTTGTCTTCTTGGTTCAAGTCTATAATTTTCACTGTGTGTGTGGAATTGAAATTCCGATTAAGTTTATGAATTATAAAATATACTAATGCTTATATGCCATTCCCACACTGCTGTTCCATTATGCTAGGCCTCATACCTTTAAATAAAATGAGATTTAACTCTAGTTATTTTAAGACTCTGAACAACACTGAAGACCATTTTTATTCCTTATATTTATTTTAAGTGAAGTTATTTTTCTAAAACGTATTAAAATAGAAAACATTGATCTGATCAATTATACAAAGAAAATACCAATATAGTAATAAAAATACTGAAAAAATATGAAAGCACCAAAACATTAGAATATTTATGTTGGTAAAGATTCTAAGAATATATTTCTCACTATTTTACAATAAAGTGCTATTAAATCCAGTCAAAATTAGCATAAGTATTTTATAAACAGTGTTAGTAAAGCTTATCTCAAATTTACAAATCACTGTATTTTACCGAGATCACTTTACAAGTGCAGGATATTCTATTAAATCCTTTCTTTAAAGTAAGACATTTGGAATCTGAATTCTAGGAAAACATTTTAAATTGTGGTAACTTGTTTGAACAGTAAGAGTGTCTAACTTGTTAGGGAAAGCAAAAGCATAGAAAACCTGCTGAATAGAACCTAAAATAAATAATTGATGAAAACTAAGACCTCTGCTAGAATAAAATAAAGAGTAAGTCAATTCAGGATAGATGACAGAGTATGAAATATAATACCATAAAGATCTGCAATGAACATGGTCAATTTTCAGTAATCACACTGGACTGTAGTCTGATTCACCGCAAAAAGTTAACTAATTTAGATGTATTCACTCAATATCAGAATCTTTTCAAAAAACAAAACTGAATCCATGTGAATGAAGCTATACCAATCATCACCGTTAAAAAAAAGAAGGCAGTGTCACTTAATGCTTTCCTTTTTTAGAGGGTTTTGAGGATAAAATATAAGAAATTCTGCAATGATCTTTTATAACCTATTTTATAAATTAAATCCAGCAGCCCAGTATTAACGAGCAGTGCGAGTAACACACAAGCCAATTCATGATAAAAGACCAATTTCTACATTTTTAAATTTTAAACATTTACAGTGGTGAAGGGAAATGATACCGGATCAGGTCTCCTTTCAAGCTTTTAATTTTTAGGTCATTTTAATATAAATATTCACAGCAATGAGTACAAAGATTCTTTGCTAAAACATATTTTCACTGACTTTATACACCCTTTCTAAAATGCCTTCTGTAACTAGCAGAAATGGAAGATACTGCGCTGTTTACATTTTCTCTTACACATCCAATCTTTTCCTGACCTGGCTTTTTTCTTATGGAAGATTAATGTATAAATTGCACATCTCAGGAAACATTCCTACATTTATTCTGTTTAGCTTTATATGAATCATAATTAATTTCTGATGACATTCGCAACAGCATGTTGATCTAAAGCAGGGGTTTTAAACCTTTTTTAGTCTAAGTACCCCTGACAGCTGAACACCGGGGGGGGGGAGGGGGGAAGAGGGGGGAGTGCTCAGCCAGACACCAAATCAGGGGAGGGAGGTAGTGCATGGTTGGAGACAGAGCAGGGAGGCAGGGACAATGCACCACTGCTTCCCAGGGGCGAGGCAGGGTGGGGAAGCTCACTGGGGTGGTATATGGTGGCTGTGGCAGCCATGTGTGAGCCTTCCTGCCCCACAGAGGGGCGCTGCTGCCCTTGCCCCACTCCTGCCCCTGGGAGGCAGCAGCGCTCCATCCCTGCCCACCCGCACATACCCCCTAGGACCAGTCCAAGTACCCCCAGGGGTAGGCATATCTCCGGTTGACAACCCCTGTCTAGAGTTTGAATAAAGAGTTCTGAAACTTTCAGAAAGTGAAATTAAGACACTTTACAAAAAAGAGCCCAACAGAACAGAAATACCTATAATAAATTAAACCAGCCTTCAAAAAGTATTTTCATCAATTATCTTTGGAATTATTACAGATTTTTTTCCTGGGGAGTATGGCTACTGTATGTATGATTTTTGGCATGTAATATTTGTGATAATTTTACATTCAGAAACCAAAAATAAAAGATACAACCATGATAAGAATTGTTCCTCGATTTCAAAATGCACCATCATATGCAAATTATCATATCTCTTTCTCCGTATGTTCATACATATGGAGCACACACATACAACCTATGGAAAAAAATCTAGCCTATAACTACTCTACTTCATAAAAAAAAGTAATAGCTTGCAAGTCTTGAATTAATTTAAACAGTCTACTTGTACCTTTTAGGGGACATTTAGAACACTTGAACAAAAAGGGAGAAAACTATAGCAGTTTTCAATTACAGTTATATTTAGTCATCTTTTAAGTTTGATAATATCCACCAACATGTCTCATGGACGTAAATCCTAAGCCTTCTCTCTTTCTGCACCGTAATAAAGCATTAAGATAGTTTCACTACATTTCTTAACAGTTCTTGGTCATTCATTTCTTCTTTTAACCACAACAATTTTACTTTTCAGTCTTGAAAGCACAGACACAGCATTTTTGGCAATTCCAGGGTTTAACAGAGCAGCTTTCGATCCTTTCTTTTCAAACCGTTTATGATAGGCAGCATTTGTAGTAACAGGCAATACTATTTAGCTCTGCTGGGTATGCAACAAGTAGAAGGAGAAGGCAGCCATAGCAACTAAGAGTAATGCTAAAACAACTGTTATCTGCTGGAACCAGATGCAACAATCAATCTGTTCTTGAAGTCTTTTATTTACTTGTAATAATTGAGTTAGCTAAAAACAAACAAAAAAAAAAGGTTACAGAAATTAAGAACAGTTTTTAAACTAATGAGTTCTGCTATTACTAATTTTAGCTGTAGACAATTATAAGAAATCACAGTATGGACATGACCAGCATTTTAAAAGATACAATATTTAAAAAATGTATTTTAAAAAGATACCCATAATAAAACTCAAAGAATACATTTTCTTTTAAAGCATGTTCTAATAATCTGGACCATTTCTGTAAAATTAAAAAATTACTAGCACTATGAATCAATCCATCCTGCTCTAGGTCAAGAAAATAACATCTTTCTACTAAGTGGCAGCACTGATACTTAAGAACACTAATAATTGTTACATATAATAAATGAAAAAGGGGATGAGAGAAATGGGAAGTGCAGTAGAGAATTTTTATTAAAAATGTGAAGATTCATTTAAGTAGTTATGTTGTTAATTATTGTTTACAGTTAAGTGAGGTTTCTAACTCTTTGCATGGAAATACTTTCTGCACTGAATTTCTTTTCTATTGTTTAACTAAATCTTTTTTCAACTGCCATTTATAGTTGTAAGGCAGTTTATAAATTTTGCTCCTGGTTCATTTGTATGGAAGAGTACTTTCTTACCTGTAAGTGTAAATCTTCATTGGTTTTGGCAGGAATAAATGAATTCTCTTTTAATGTCAAGGTAGAAGGCTTGCTATTTTCTACAACATGACATCTTAACCTGTTAAAAATTCAAGTACAATTTAACTATGAACATATTATAAAAGTTTATTTTCAGATTGTTGAAAGGAATTAAGAAGAAACTTTTCATAATGTTTCATTATTAACTGGTAAAAGAACTAAAATTCTGACACAACATTCTCTTCACAGACCTGATTCTGATCCCTAAAAATCTATCAGAGTTAGATCACTTTCCAAATGTTATGTGTTAAATTCCTGAGGCAATTTAACAACATCAGAACAGATATAATTGAATGTTTCCTTAAAATAAAGATAAAACTAAAGTTAAAATACATATGTACAACCCATTGCTGAATTTAATCCAGAATTCAGTACGGCAGAAATGCTGTTTCACTTATACTGGAAATGGATATTCTCGTTTTTGCAATGTAATTTAACATCTCCATCCTTTTTGTGTTTGAAGCAAGCAGAAACAGAATTTTAAAGTATGCCTAATTATGCTTGGTTATCACCCTGAAGGCCTCAGGTATACAGTGCTAATAAAAAAGGGAATGCATCTGAATTAACAATGAAAGCATTTTATAAGTTCATACTATGAACCTTTTTTTGAAACAAGTCAATTAGTTTGAAATGAACACATTCCAAAACTTATCCCAAGATATTTAGTATTCTCTGAGACAACTTTTATAACTTTTGAGAGAAGAAAGCACAAGAAAAGGGAGAAAATGGTTTGGAACTGACTTTGGGAAAAAGAGAAAACGTGTTAACCGTCTACCTTAGGGAAAGGAGTTGGCAAAACAGATATTAATCTGAAATTATAATTATTCAGATAGTTATAAAGTATATGCACTGAGTCAAATGATGACATGCTCTGCCAATTTTGATATCAGTTTTTCTTGAGATGAAAGATCAGCGTGGGTCATATCATATTACTAGAACTCAAATTTCCTGTACATTTATTTGTATTGTTATTAGACAAATATTCTGCAGGATTCTGTGGCAGTAAAAAAAAAAATCTCATTACTGTCAAGAATACTAGCAAAGAAACCTAAAATGACATAATACATCAAGTCAGAAAATGCAAATATAAAGATACTGTTTCCTATACGTGGAAGATTACTGCATGCGAATAAAAAGTATGTCTATGTTTTCATATATGAAACTTCAAAAAAAGCCTCCCAAGAGAATTAAGGAGATTAACTCCTTGCACAATGTCTATTGAACAAAATAAGTAGCTATGAGAAAATAATCCCCAAATTACTTGAGAAGTGATGTTGCTTTTATGGTCTCTGGACAGAAGGAGGGCCACCCTGCACAACAATGACAGATCAGAAAATGTACCCAGAATCTGCAATTATGAACTGTTATCTTAAAAAAAAAATAGCATCATATGTATCCTTTTATGAGTATCCATGCACCATTTTGAATTTCATCGTCAGGTTCAACATTCAGATAAACAAACAAACAAACAAACAAAACGTAAACTGAAGAAACAGATTTCATGAAGATTTCATTTCCTGATTTAGTGAAATCCATGCTTCACTAATGATGAAGTATATAAGTAAAGACAATTAAAGTTAAAATAAACATCTGAGGATGAAGAAAACATCTACAATAATACAAAAATAATAATAGACATTACATATAGCTTTCTTAAAACTTCATGTTATGCAAACAAGATGATCCAGAAGTAGTTTATGCCAGGAAATGAATACAGGGGTACAAGCAGGGATACACAGATAAAGATTTTTTTGGCCGATACTGAAAGCCGATTATTAGCAAGCCATATCAGCTGATCCTGATCCAATAACTGATTTACAAGAATGCAGCTGGGCAGCGTGGAGAGCAGCATCCTGCTGGGAAGTCTGTGGGGGGAAGGGGCATGGGAGAGGGAAGGGGTATGAGGTGGGGTAGATCAAGGCACCCTTGGTGAGGGAAGGAATGAGGCACGGGCAAGGGCAGATGCTTTCCAGCCATGGTGGTGAATGAGGCCCTGGGGCTGGATGTAGGACAGAGCTGTGGGCAGCTCATCCAGGGGGTGAGGACGGGCTCCTTGCCACTGTGCACCCCCCTGGGGGAGGCATGGGGGGCATGTCCCCCCCATTTGTGCACGGGGCAGAGGGGGGCTGCCTGCTGCAGGCTCGGAGCCAGGGGCAGCGCCAGCCTCTTCCTGGTGGCGGGGCTGGGCTCAGCGAGAGCAGGAGTGGGGCAGGCTCAGCTGTGTGGGGTGGGTGGGCAACAGCTATAGCCACCCCAAAATTAAGATATGGCTGGCAAATAAGGTTACAGAATCCCTTTAATTTTCTTTTTAGAAAAATCTTAAGACATTCCATTTGAAATCTCAAAGGAAAAAAATGCTAAATTATGTGCATTTAAGGGACACATTCTTCCTCCATTAATTCCTTTGGTATATTCATTCAGTTATATCTGCTCACTTTAGCGGCAAAAATATTTTTTACTGTTTATTATTCCAGTTAACATATAAAAGAGCCAACATCATTACAAAAGCATAAGTTGAGTTCAATTACATCTGATATAACCAAAATCCAAACAAGACAACAGAGATGTATGGGTATCATTAAGACAAGAAACATTATCACCAGTGACAATGAGCAAATACTAGGATAAAATTACACAACCCACATAAATAGAATTTTAGCTAAGTCAATGGGCTTACCTATGTTCCATTACTTTGTTTCTAGGGACTTCTTTCCAGAACTGAGCCAATTCTGATGCACCTGCTCCAGAAGCCTGGTCCATTTCTGCTGCCATTATTAGGAAGCGGTCATGCAGGGAAGCTAAAAAACCTGCTCTCAACAAAAAAACCCCAAAAACAAAAACAAAGAAACAAATCACCACAAATAAACCACATAAACTTAACAGAAATAATGCTTTTTAAGTAAGTATTTTAGGAAGAAAATTAAATAGCAACTTTAAGAAAAAGCTTGAATTGGTAATTAATAATCTTCAACAGAACAGCACAAAAACGTGAATAACAACTGAAACAGTTGTCTGAGATCTCATTTCTCAATGTGTTTTCCCCAGAATGGAGATTTACTTGGCTAATTTTTTAAGACAGCAAAGCAATGCAAGTGAAAGACCAAAAACCGTGGCATTACTGGTATACTTGCTCTGTTGTTCCTTTATGTTGCATTTGATAAGGTTTATAAAAAAGGGACTTGGAAGCAACAAACGCATAAGACAAACTACGAATTAGTTTAGCCTAGCAAAATTATACCATCATTCTGACATGATTACTTTTAGAAAACTATATTTCAAAATCTGGTCCTTTGGAGATGAGAGAAAGAGAGAAGCAACACACACCACCACACTTAATAGGAATGTTTTAAATGGGAACTTATTGGCAGATGCATCTGGCAATGACACACAGGAAACAAAACAAATGACTACAGGACAAGTGCATTCTACACACATCTGCCTAATGCTGTATTACTGGGGTCGGCAATGTTTTTGAATGGAGTACCAAAAAAAAAAATGTGCAACCTCAAATTGTAAGATGTTGGTATTCTAGGGCAGAAAGCAGGGGAACTGAATGCGGCCTGATCTTGTTGTGGCACCGAGCCCCAGTCCCTTCCTCAAGGCACAAGTGCCAAGCAAAATGCCTTTGTGTGCCAATCTCTGGCACTTGTGCCAGGGGTTGCTAACACCCACTATAGAAGAAGCCCCCAAAAAGTTCACAAGTGCCAAGACATAATGTAGGATATACAGAAACAAATCCAAAGAAGAGATGCTCATTTTTGTTCTCTTCATAAACTTTCTTGACAAATAAAAATGTTGCTTACCACCATGGAGAGAAACTACTATGTCTAATGATGTACCAGGTTCACAGCTGCTGTTACTTGGTTTAACTCTATACTTTTCAGGAGCAGTTGTTCTCACCTAAGAAACAAAAAAGCAAACAAAACATATAGTGCATACACGCCAATTTAATAACAATACAAGCTTCTAGTTTTCAACTGCTAAATTATAAAAAAAATCCCCAACCCAACCCCCACAAGTCTTAAAAGATTCTCCCTCACAACCATTCCCTCCTAAAAACAGGGTGGAATATTCTTAGATTGGCACCTGCCTTTACCTTTCAAAAAGAATTAAAAAAAAATAAAAACACGGAGAAGTGACTAAGAATTTTTGAAGAAGTAATTCTGGGTACCAGTGCTTACAATTTACCAGTTTTGTTCTTTTTTGGTAAGAATAAATTGCTTCTCTCTCTTTCTCTCCCATACAAATAAATTATGGAACAAGATTATTGAATGTAACAGCTGAAAACTGCCGGTTTGACAGTTTTGGAAATAGAATTAATTTTTATACTCAGAAAACATGTAGGAAATGGCAATAAGCCAAATCTAAGAACACCTACATCCATTTAAATTTCTGGTATGCATCCAGCATGAAACAGTTGGTACTCATTTCTCCACAATGATCTGCTCAGCAATGTTTGTACTGTTGATTGATCCCGTGGGTTTTTTTGTTTTGTTTAGGTGTTTTTTTGGGGGGGAGGGGGGGGGGGGGGGAGTGAGGGAAGGGGAGGACTTTGGGAAAGAGAAGGAGAAGGAACAACATACAAACCCCCCCATCCCACTTTTCAGTGTTTCTCCTTCATTCTTTTTTGGGGAAATCTAGATTATCATCAAAATTTGCCATTACCCTTAAATGCCCTTCACATGAGTTTCCCTCCAGGAGTTGCACTCTTAACCCAACTTCAAAGAGCTGGGGGCTGCATGAATAGTGACCCACACTAGCATGGGCCATGGGTGCCTAGGACTGCATGCCCCCCCCACTACTGCTGCACCA